GGAAAACAGTGTGGAGTCACCTCAAAACATTAAAAATAGAACTAATATATGAATTAACAATCTCACTACTAGGCATAAATGGAAAGGAAAGGAAATCAGTATGTCAAAGAGACAGCTCCACTTCCAAGTCCATTGCTGCTTTCCTCATAATAATCAAGATGTGGAGCTAACTGCAGTGCGCCTCAATGGATGAATGGATAAAGATGTGGTACCTGAATGCTCCTTGACCTTTGATGGTGTTATGTCCTGATAAACATCTTTTAAGCAGAAAATATTGTTAGTCAAAAGTATATTTGGTACAACTACTCTTTCAAACACCATAGCTTAGCAATTTGGTCCACTCAGAGGGCCGTTTTCCCTTGTGATGGAATGGCTAATGCAGAGCTGGCAGGTGCGTGAGGGTGGGGGGTGGGTCAGGATTGGGAGAGAGGATCATGCTGCCTTACACTAGCCCAGGAAATGATCAAATGCAAAATCCAAGAGTGGTTTTTATAGAATGCATATTGGCTTTGTACCATCATAAACCTGAGAATTGTAAGTCAAACCGTCCTAAGTTGGGGACTATAAACCACTTGTTTATAGACAGTTGGAATCCTGTCCAGCCTTAATGAAGGAGGACATCCTGACATTCGTGATGACATGGGTGACCCTGGAGTACAGGGTGCTCAGTGAAATAAGCCAGGCATAAGAAAATAAACACTGCATGACTCCACTTACAGGTGGAGTCCAGAGCCAATAAACTCAAGCAAATAGAGACTAGATGGGGAGACTGGGGGGATGCAGGTAGAAAAATCTAATTTTCAGTTAGTAAATTAGTACTGTCATGGTGGAAAACACTATGGCATTCTTCAACAATCCCAAACTAGAGCTGCCATATAATCCAGCTGTCCCACTCCTGGTTGTGTATCCAAGGGAAATCATGTCAGTTTGTCACAGAAACATCTGCACCCCCACATGTACTGCAGGACTGTTCATGATAGCCAAGAAACAGAATCAACCCACTGATGAATGGATGAGGGAAATGTGGTACATACATAATGGAATACTATGCAGCATTGAAAAGGGTGGAATCATACTCTTTGCAGCCACATGGATGAGCTGGAGGTCATGAAGTGAAAAATTCAAATACAAAAAAGACAGCTATCCCTGGTCTTGGTCTTACTTGTAATGGAGACAAAAAAAAAGTGATGCTGTAAAAGTTGAAAACATAATGTTGGTCACAAGATGCTGGCAAAAAAAAATGATGACGGAGTGAGGAAGAATGGATAGGTGGGTAGATTATAGCTAGATGGGATTAAGAAGTTCTGGGGGCTCTATAATACAATAGGATGATCATAGGTAATGTTAATATACTGTAGTTTTCTATACATCATAAAGCAAATGACTGGGCATTATACAATGTATACATGAACCAAAACATGAACTAGTACTTGATACATGTACAATTTCTATGTGTCTTTAATTTTTTTTTAAGAATTGCTTATTTTTCTATTGGAAAGGCAGATTCAAAGACGGAAGGAAAGACAGAGAGGAAGATCTTCCATCTGCTGGTTCACTCCCCAAGTGGCTGCAATAGATACAGCTGAGCCAATCTGAAGCCAGGAGCCAAGAGCCTCAGGCTTAGAACCATCTCTCACTGCTTTCTCCAGCCCTAAACAGGCAATTGAATGGGAAGTGAAGCAGTTGGGACACAAACCAGCACACATATGGGATCCTGGTGGTTGCAGTTGGAAGACGAGCCATCATGGTGGACCCGTTGCCTTTTCAAAATAAAAATTTTAGTTAGGAGGAATAATTGAAGAGATAATGGTTTCCATCATTAATAACAATGCATTGCATTATTGAACCTTGTTAAGAAAGTAGATTTTAAGTGTTCTTATCACACATGAAATTAGTGTGTGAGGTTATATAAATATTGAACAGCTTGATTTAGCCATTGTGCAATTCATATGTGTTAAAACACCATATTGTTGGCCACATATACATTTAAAAAACTTTTCCATTAAAACAATCTGAAAAGAGAATGAGAAAGGAAATAGTGATTATAATCCAAGAGCATTTCCTTAGATGACAAGCTTGGTTTCCAACATGAGTGGCACCAGATTTATGCCAATGAGCTGGCATTGATGGAAAGCTTAGTTCATGGCTCCCAGCTGAGAACTGCCTGGCCTGAGCTTGTGTTGGGTAAATGGGGGGGGGGGGGGGTAATCGTGCTACCAGGTAGGGATGGAGCCTGCAGGGCCTCAGCCCAGTGGAAAGCTGAGGCTCCAAATAACACCAAGATTTTCTATCTCACAACTAGGGCATTCGGGTGAATGGGAACAATGAACAGGCCACCAGCAGCGTGTACCTTGCCAGTGGGGTTGAACCCCCACTCACCAGGGGTGCCCCATTTGTGTAAAGGTCAAGGAGCCATCAGCATTTAGCATCATAGGCAGCGGCACAGGTGCCCTCTGCCTGCTTCTAAATGCCCCAAGAGGCCCTTCCAGGTAAGGAGACACGTTGGCTTTGGTTCTAAGTCTGCTGCCTTGTTTTGCTATCACTTGGGTACCAGGTGCAGAGCTCACAGCTAGGCCCAGAACAGTGTTGGATGCTCACTGCTCAGTTGGTCAGCACTCCCTACTCTGACTCCTCTGGTGCAGTCCTCCTGAGTCTGCCTAGCTCACCCTTCTGAAGTCTGTGTGGATTGGAGCACAAGGGACAGCCATTGTGTTCACTGAGCTCTGCTCCCAGTGGGCACAGCACGAAAGCACACAGCACCTGCCCCCTTCCAAATGACTGAGTCAGACAACCCAAAAGGCTTGGTGGGGTTTACACAGGAGTGTCTCTCCTGCTGCTTTCTGTCACCTTATTGCCACAATCTGGGACTCCCTTAACTGCATGTGGGTGCCAGAAGGCTAATGAGCCCCCCACCCTGTCCCACAAGGAATCCAGAAGCCCACTCAGCAGCCTTCCTGGAAAGTGTCTGCTTGCCTGACACTGGGTCAACAGATGGCAGATACAGTGAGCCTCCGGCAGATCTGGGGTTGAGTCCTAGCATCGGCCTCGTGCCAACTCCCCTGTCAGTCACCTCTGATCTGAGCCTCAGTTTTCTCAGGTAAAAATGGGAATGATGACAGTGCAGCCCCTCCTGAGAGTTCGGAGCTTAGGGATGTAAAGCCTCACTGGGTTGATCCTTAATATGGGAGGTGATCACAGGTGGTGGGCACGGCTGGCAGCCTGGTTCTGCTCGCATGGTAAGGATGTGGAGTCAAATGAATCAGAAAGCATACATTTCTGCCGACTCTGGCTTATAGCCTTTTTTAAAAAAGCATTTTGATTGTATTTGTTTATTTTATTTGACAGATAAAAATTGTGTATGTTTATTGTTATATAACCTGTTCTAATATGATTATGTAATGGCTAAGTCAAGCTGATTAGCATATCTATTACCTCACACTTTTTTTTTTTCCTGGTGAGAACACTTAAAAAGTACAGTCTTACCAGTTTTCGAGTGTTCAAAACTTTGTTATTGGGCCTGGTATGATGGCTCAGTAGCTAAACCCTTGCCTTGCAACAGCTGGGATCCTGTATGGGTGCTGGTTTGTGTCCCGGCTGCCCCACTCCCCATCCAGCTCCTTGCTTATGGCCTGGGAAAGCAATTGAGGAGGGCCCAAGACTTGGGACTCTGCACCCACATAAAAGACCCACGTAAAAGAAGAAGCTCCTGGCTTCAGATTGGCTCAGCTTCAGTTACTGCAAACACTTGGGGAGTGAACCAGTGGATCTTTGTCTCTCCTCTCTATAAATCTACCTTTCCAATAAAAATTAAAAATCTTAAAAAAAATAAATTAACTACCATTACTATATACAACAGACCTGTAATCTAAGTAAATATAAGTATCATGAAATGGAATCAAATCATTTCAAAATAACACCTGCTTCTATTGCTGTTAAGCAATAGAAACCTATAAAATGTTCCTTATATTCACATGAATTTAATACTAAGCACCTATTTAAAACCAATGAATTCAATTTTGAGAAAAAGTAAATGAATTTTAGGAAGTTTTTGGGGCAGGTGATTATCCTAGAAGAATCAACTTCAATCTAGCTATCGGTACTGAACAATTAGATATTGAAATTTTTTAATAATTACAATAATATTAAATGTGATATTTTTAGGTAAATCTGACAAAACATGGGTGTGTAGTGTCTGTGCAAGGAAAACTAAAAACCCCTCAGAAATTAGGACTCGCGTGAAAGATTGATGTGTCGTGTTCATGCATGAGAAGTAAGACAGGAGTAGAGGAAGGGTTTGTACAGGGAACCTTTCCATGTAATGGATTTTTATTGTCTTCATTGTGCTAATCATTCCACAGGTATAAGCAGACGCTAAAATCTATGCAGCTATAAATGGTGCAGTTTGCCACCTATCAGTCATACTTGGATAAAACTTTCAAAAATCAAGACATACAGAAGTAAATATCAGAAAACGAATACAAATGAGTTACAAGTGGTTTTATTTTTGAGTAGCCAGATAAAAGGATGGCCCAATTCATTATCTTCAAATAAGCATTTCAGCATTAATGTATTTGCCATGATTTTTCTACTATTTTAATATAATATTTGGAAACGATTTGTTATATCCACATGACAGAAATTTCTGAAATCATTTTAAAATGATATCTCTTAAAAAGTGAATTACAGAATAATACAATTGCTTTTATGCTGAAGGGGAAAGTGCTGAAAAAACGTACGGACTCCCTAATGGTGTTTCCTCTGTGATAGGAATTATGAAACAAATGTTGAATGGGAAGTATTTATGCTTAATTCTGTATGTCTATATGTGTTACTCAAACCTTTTTGAGAAGATGTATACATAATAAGAGAATTGGGTAAACAAACATCTCAAACTTCAAAAATGAAATACAGTGACTGATAATCACTGTTCATCTTAGTTTCTATTTTATGACTTTGCAATTTTGTATATTTGCCAGATATTTGTTTCTGTCCTTGCAGGATCTTGTGCATGAATGGACTAATAACCTGACTGTGTTCTCTTATGCCCTTGAGGAATGGATGACTTGTCAACGAAACTGGCTTCATGTTGAGCCAGTCTTTAACTGTCTAGAAATACAAAGGTAAAAAAAAAAAAAAAAAACTTAAAATACCCCACTTAAGATTTGGAAAAAGAAAAAAAAGTGGTTGGTTACCTTCTGTAATCCTTAAGAAATGAACAGTATAGACATTTGAGTATAATGTGCTCAGTAAAAACTTTTTTCTTTCACAGGAAGTTTAAAAGTATTAACATTTAGGAAAAAAGCCTTATTTCTCCAATTCTAAAAATTTGTATCTATTGGATATAAGGAGTGTGTGCACAAACACCCCATCCACTACTGCACTCTTCAGATGCACAGACAGAGCAAAGCAGGAGCATGAACTGGCTCAGGATCCCCACATGGATCAAGGAACTCCACTTGCTACTGTCTTCTTCCCTTTTTTATTATTATTATTTTTTATTATTCTATAGGCCTGCATTAGCAGGAAGCTGACGTTAGGAGGTGGAGGTAGATATTGAAATCAGACATTCTGATATGGCACATGGGCATCTTAACAGGTGTCTTACCCACAAAGACCAAGTGTCCACCCCTTCACAATTATTAACATGAATATGTATAAAGGACCGTGGGGCAAAGTGTCAGATGTGTTGTTATCTTCCTTAAATGATACTTTGATGGGTCTGTTTACTTCTGGAATATCAGTGTTGTTTTAATATATGTAAAAAGCACTTTTTAGTAGCCTTCATACTTTAATAAGATTTTTTTTATTTGGACCACGTAAAGGAATAGAAGACCTGGGAAACTATCTTAAAAATTCTATATTTGCTTTTATTCATAGTATTAAAATCAATTAGCTTTTAACTCTTAAGGGTAATCACTTAATAGTCTTAATAGTGCCTTGGTTGAGATGAATGGTTACCCAAGAAACTATCTAGGAATCATTAATGATTCAGAGTAAATCATACAAGCTAGTGTAGGAGCCATTCTGAAATAAAATGGGAGGTCATGAAGTATGTGAGTGAAAGGTTTGCACGGTAAGAAAGACCACTCATATCAAGATAAGTATACTAAGCATAAGTTGGGGGGAAAAGAATAGCTATCAAAAGCTTGAAAAAGAACTGCTTTTCTGGGAATAATGTCCATATTTTATACGTATTATTATGTATCCTACAAAAGCTTGGTATTCTCCTGTTAACCTGCAGATGGTTGTAAAAAAAAAAAAAAAACACTCACACACACATAGTTAAGCATATCCATAATGGTTGCAACAGCTTTGAGGCTCAACTTTAAGTTTCATTATTGCATTTTAGTAAAAATTTCTTAATAGAAGAGCCAAACACATAAGTATCAAAATACCACTGCTCGTTGCTCTTTTACAGGATTTACTGAGATTGAAAAGATGCTTTTAAACAAGGGATGCCGAAAGCACTTATAAATATGTCTAAAGGAAAGAACAAAATGGACTATAATAGGCCATAGTTTGATGCAGAGGGACAATGAGCCCTGATCCCAATGGGAAGCATCGGGGCAGGGAGGGTGGGGGAAGCAGTAAAGAACAAAAGATCCATCTTAAGGGAGAATGTTGTGAAGGGAATGGGTGAGACTCAAGCCTCACCGTAACACCAGAGGAGTTGGGAGAGTGCTTAGCAGAAGGGAACATCCAAGTTCCTCTCCTAATCGGACTTTTTTTTTTTTATTAATGGCATTGCATTATGGGCACTGGGATTTCCCCCCACACCTCACCGAACCCTCTCCCCATGGTGGATTTCTCCACCTTGCTGCGTTACCGCAGTTCAAATTCAGTTGAGGTTCTTTCATTGAAAGTATTTACCAAGCATAAAGTCCAGTGTCTTATTATCCTAGTGGGTTCAACGATTTCTTGGTGAGACCATCTCTGGTCTGAAAGTAAAGCCAGCAGATTATCATCCCAATCAAGTAAAAGCCGGAACATAAAATCAACAGCCATTTACAACCTTATGGCATTAATTGACATGGTATTTCCTAATCGGACTTTGATCGAGCTGCAGACATGTCTAGGGCAATCACCCAAGGTGTGGAAGGTGATGATGGTGGAAGTATTCTCAGGAGAAATTGACATTTAGAGTCTAAGAGGGGGCTTCCCTCCTCTGGAGAATTCTGTGGAGAAAGAATGCTTGAGTATGCTAGACCAGTGTTGGCCAGGTATGATTTTACATATTTGGGGACATTTTGCAAAGTCTATCAACATTTTTTAGCTGCCATCTAGTGCATGAAGGTCAAATCAAATGTCACACACCTAAAGACTTCCCCCTCACGGCCTCCTCGCTCAACTTCAAGGCATGAAGCATTTGAAGGAAATGACTAGGGTGGGATGGCTGTGGGATACCCAGCTGAGCAGAGAGGAAGGAGCTGGCCCACCAACTTTTGAAGATACTTCAACAGCAGAACAAACATTATCAGCAGATTAGCAATGTGCATGTGGAGAGGCAGCCACATGCTGCTCTCAGAGGAGAGGAAACAGTGATAATATTCCGTGAAGGAAACTTTCCCTACCAGGACTGACCCCTGCCTCGCATTTCCTCATCCCCTAAGACTAGTAGAGCGTTCAGGGAACCCCTCTTATATGCTTGTTCCTGGACTGAGCATCCACTGCCTTCTCATGTCATAAACAGATTACTCTTCCAGAACCCAGATTAAGCAGTGTCCTGTTCAGGAAGCCCCTTCCATACCCCACTGCTTCTCTCGAATTCCACCCATGGTTGGTTTTATTCCATGTATTGACACACAAATCACTACTTTATGTAGAATCCATGCACATCTGTCTTCTACCACATAGTAAATATGCTCTTGTTAAATGATCTTACATTTCATAGTATGGGTATTATTCATTTAAAATGAGCACTCAGAAGTTATCTTTAATCAATGACTGATGAAGAAAAATAAAACCCACAAAGGTGCTTTCTAAATGAAACCATGAAATGTGGCAATGTATTCAGGTTGCACATTTAAATCATAGGACTTTAAAAATATAAAATTTCATCTCTTTTTTTTCTAAAGGCAGCTCCCAGAAGAAACAAAAGTTTTCTCTCAGGTGATTTCCACATGGAAAGAAGTAACATCCAAACTACAAAACAGACTGAATGCTTTGCAAATAATCATCTCCAAAAGAATACCCGAAATTCTGAAAAATTGTAATAAACATCTTGAATTTATAAAGAAAAGGCTTGAGGTAAAAAAAAAAATGAGGAACAAAAATCATACCAATCCTAAAGTAGTGAATGGTTTTATTTTGCAGAAGGAGTGTAATATACAGTAGAAACTAACCTCAAATTCTCTTCTTCCATAGCATAGAGTGAAAATATTCACAAAAGCAATGGAAGATGGACTGATGAAGTGATCTTAGGCAAAAATACTAAACTTTGAAGAGCCAGAATTCCATTATCTCCTTTTAAGTATATTTGTTTATCTTGTATTTATTTGCAAGAGAAGGAAACCAACTGCTTCCACATGTCAGTTTAGTCCCCAAATGCTTGCACTGCCAGGGCTGGGCATAGCTTTACCGTCTCTGTCACCTGGGTGGCTGGTACCCAAGTATGTGAGGTATCATCTTTACCTCCCCAGAGTGTGCAGAAGCAGGAAGCTGGATCGAAGCAAAGGCAGGACACAGTCCAAAACTCTCTTTTGGGATGGAGGTGGGGTGTAATAAATATCCTAAGCAAATGCCCCAAGTTCTATTAAGGTTGAGAAAAGGCAGAGGTACCTTGAGGGGCTTTGTTCTAAATGGGAGAGCATAAAGCACAAGAATTGGCACAAAAAGTACTTCATGAAGGTTAATTGTTTTATTAGTACTAGTACTGTGGCTTTTTTAAGATTTATTTTTATTGAAAAGTCAGATTTACAGAGAGAAGAAAAGACAGAAAGATTTTTCATCCACTGGTTCACTTCCCAAATGGCTGCAAAGGCCAAAATTGAGCTGATCTGAAGCCAGGAGCCAGAAGCATCCTCTAGTTTCCCACACAGGTGCAGGGTCCCAAGGCTTTGGACCATTCCCTACTGCTTTCCCAGGCCACACACAAGCAGAAAGCAGGTTGGGAAGTGGAGCAGCCAAGACAGGAGCCTGTGCCTGTAAGAAATGGAGGTATTTGAATGTAGAGGATTAGCCTATGGAGCCATTGCACCAGCCCCAAACCACTCCTATTAAGTTGATAAATGCAGCAAAAGTTCAAATAGAATATGTTGATGGGCTTATAAATTTCTGATTGTTAAAACATTGAATTGTCATCTTGACATACATATTGCTTAAACAACTAGGTTCTGGTGTTTGAGATTCATGATGTACACATTTACTTTGCTTCCAAAATCAAGATTTTTTTTCAGGCATCACTTTTCCTTGTTAAGCACAGGACACAGATACCAGGATGGCTCTTCTGGAGTATTTAACTGTAGTCAGGGCTTCTATATAGAAAGTTCTTCCAGACAGGCCTTCTTCTGGAACAAGCTATGATCTAGGACAGGTGGTCGTTAAGCCTTCCAGTTATATTTGACACGTGCCTGAATTATTACTGAGGATGATTCCACACCAGACATTTAATCATGGGCTGAATACTGACTTGGTCCAGGCACTGCTGCTGCTCTGTACTGGTTCTACAAAGTTAGAAGACACTTTGCCTACTATTACAGAACTGCAGTGTAAGAGATGAAAGAGCAGAGGAGCATTATAAAACGAAGTATGCCATGACAGCTTGGAGAGTGAGGCCGCAGCAAAGAGAAAGAAAAGTCCCCGTACTGAGAGAAAGGACACTTAATGTGGGTCTTAGGAGTGGGTACTGACTAGGTTAGAGTCCAAACAAAGAGGGTAGGTGAGACATGGAGCCAAGAGCACATGTGGTACCTTCTGGTTTGTGAGCAGTACAGTACAGATGAGACAGGGCACGCGTGGAACAAGAGGGTGAAGGGTCTTGAGAATCACAGTGAGTTACGATTTTCATGAGCATTCAGAGAAAACTTCGAGGCAGCAATGTAATGTAGAAATGCCTCACCACATTGTCACATGAGGAACCAAATTGCAACATGAGCTTGGAGAGGGATGAATGATTTTCAAAGCTGTAGCATGGACAGTGAGGCTGGATATTTAAAGACTAGTTCAAGAACAATAGCAAGACCACAGTGAGGATGAAAGAATGTGGAGCCTGGAGCAGCAGAGCGGCGAGTCAAGTGTAAAAGATGTCCAGGACTGTGGCTGGATTTCTGGTTTGGCCATAAAACGAAAAGCAATGATGCTGCAGAGAAAAGAGCTGGAGGAGAATTGTGTTTGCTCATGCTGAAAATCTAATGCAGATGGGACATTCAGATGAATTCCTCACTTGGCAACTGGGAGTAGTAGTTCTTCCTTGTCTTTGAGTCCTACAATTCCAGTTACCTGTGGCCATTCATGGTCCTAAAAATATCAAGTAGAAAATTGCAGAAAAAATTTAAATTGCATACTGTCCTGAGTAGCATGGTGAAATTTTCCCTATTCTACCCCAAATGTGAATCTTCTCTCCCTGCTCAGCATACTTACTCCATATACATCATTTACTGCTTATGCGTGTGGTAGGCATCCCAGTTCGCAGATGTATGGCATGTATTACAGTGTGATGTATAAATAACATAAGTGTAAGGATTTAGCGCAATGTGCAGTTTCAGCATTTTCTGGGGGAGTCTTGGAATGCATCCTCTGTAGGATAGGGGGATACACAGTGTGGCTGGGCAGAGAGAAGTGATCTGAATGGAAGAAAATGAATATGGATTAAATAACTTGAGAAGAGCATAGTAAGAAGAGTGATAGGAAAATTTGAGAAATGTCAGCATTATGGTGGATGGGACAAAGAGGGACTCTTTTTTTTTGGATTTATTTTTATTGTAAAAGCAGATTTATAAAGAAAAAGAAAGTGATACAGATCTTCCATCCACTGGTTCATTCCCCCAAGTGACCACAATGGCTGGAGTTGAGCCAATCCAAAGCAGGAGCCAGGAACTTATCCAGGTCTCCCATGTGGGTACGGGGTCCCAAGACTTTGGGTCATCCTCCATTGTTCTCCTCTGCCACAAGCAGGGAGCTGGATGGGAAGTGGAGCATCCCTAAAAGAGATCCTGGTACCTGCAAGGCAAAAATGACATGTAATGGCTGTGGGAAAATGGAAAAAAATCAGAGGTTGAAACAAAGGGCAGAGTCAAGTCCTATAGAATTTGCATGCAACAGGAAGACTGACAAGCACTCAGTAGATCGGAGCCAACAGGGGCTCTATGGCAGAATGTGACATGATAGAGAATTAAGATTTTGTGCTTACAGACTAAGAACTTTGTAGCAAAATGGGCAAACAGCTGTTGGAGGGGAACAAAGGGACAGGAAAGGCTTCTTAAACTTTGTACTTGAGAGAGTGCCAAGGGAGAATCTGAAGAGAATAGAACAGAAACCAGTAAGAACTTGTTGACCTGACCAAACTGGATGGCTGGCTGTTTCCTGGTTTGAATCTCCTACGTTGTGGGGAGAGGTGGCGGCAGTGGTGAATCTCCATGAGAGTGCCTAAGCAGGAGGATGTGAGCTCATCTGTGAAATGGGAGCTCCACAGACAGGGAAGCAGTCCAGAAAGGCGAAGTACACAAAGTAAATCGATCATACTAAAATATAGTACTTTGTTAGCTGTGAATAATTTAAGAGGATTTTTGTTGCTGCTTAGGTTTTGATTTCTTTTTTCTAAATTTGCTTTAGGAAAGGTTTTAATGTCTTAAGTATAGCTTTCATTTGGCCTTGGCGTGCTTTTCACAGATACTAACATGTTCCCTACACCATTACTGTTGTAGCTTTTGTGTAGGTAGGTACACATGCGGTTACGAACCTTACCATGAATAAGTATATTTTCTGAACTGCATTTCTCTTGGTTCTTCTGAACAGGACTACCTTGAAATGAAAAGGATGATTTTCCCCAGGTTTTACTTCCTCAGCACCAATGAGCTGCTTGCGATCCTAGCCGGCAGCAGAAACCCTGAGTCTGTACAGGTAACGGCACTCCCCTGTGTTCAGCAGTGCTATTTCCCGAGCATTCCGGGATTTACTCATGCTGTCAATCCACCTTTCCGGTTCACAGCCTCATCTAGTGAAGTGCTTTGAGAATGTGAAGCAGCTGATGATATGCAAGCAAGAGATCGGCCCCTCTACCATAAGGATGCTCATGTCTGCTGAAGGCGAAGGCCTCGTGCTGCACAAGTATGCTGAATATGCTGCTAACCAAGCGTTCAGACCCCTTAAGCCCTCATGCTTTACAACCTCTGAAATTTGGTTTTTCATGGAAGCACTCTAAGCAAACTAAGATATAATATCCTTATTCAAATATGCTGTCACCTTTCTGGATGTCTTCTCATACATATTCATTTCTTTTCAATTAGAAGCAGAGAAGATAATCTTCAAACTCACGGTGCTCATGTATGTCTAGCTTCTGCTCTGTCATTCAGATTTGTTTTGCGTTTCCTACTCTCATTACTGCATGACCTGTTTCGCTAAGCTATCATGCCGGGCCCCCCAAAATGTTTTATACTACAATCTCTCTGTCTCTTACAGATGAATTTTTTTGCATATAATCTAATTACTGTGTAATTTATGGCCTTTATGTAAGAATTCCTTAAAACCTGATTAACTGTTTTCTGTGCAGTTTTCTAAATTAAAATTTGGAATAACCAAAAGATGTTCTAGAATTATAATTGACCCGTGAATATTATTAAAATGTGCCAAAATGTAGTCTAAGTCTATCAAAGGACAGAGCATGAGTTGAAATGGCTTTCTGATTTTTTTTTAAACAAATTACAGGAAAATTCACGTAAGAAGTGCTGTAGAACAGTGGCTGGCAAATGTAGAAAAAAGCATGTTTGAGGCGTTAAAAAAGTAAGTACAAATTTTAAATCCTGAACCTATATATATTTGTTACCTGTATTTAACTCTACCTTTGTCAGGTTTTTTTTGAATCCCAGGTGTAAATGTGAGATTATTTAGCTTTTTCTTTCTACACCTGTCTGATTTTATCTAACATAATGTGCTCCAGGACCATCCGTGTCATCAGAAACAATAAGATGTCCTTATATTCAGACTTAATGTTATCCATTGCATGTAAACACACCATGGTTTGTATATATATACACACACACGTAAAAACAATATATATAAAAACTATATAGTTTTCTGACTTTTTCACCTTTTATTTTAAATTTTATGATATTCCATAGTGTCCGGGGTTTTCCTACCCCCTCCCCAAATTGC